AAATGGCAGACTTGGAATCCGTTTACACTCAGAAACGCTTTTCGCTTCTATTATTTAACTAAGAATTTAAACTGTACACATTTACAGCGACCTATTCAATAACAAGGTACATGGAGTGCATCAAAAACCTAATAAACAGTATAGTGACTTTTCCATTTATATATTATATTAAATTTAATTAAAATTAATTGTATTTAGTAATTTTATTATTAATTTTTAATGTTAAAAATTAATATGATTATTGTAATAGTACAAGGTACTATCTAGCTAGGTATCTAGCTAGTTGTTCAATAATACTGGTGGGACATGCTTTGCACGTTTAAAGATAATATTTATAAGATATTAATTCTGCTTTTAGCTTCAAATTAAATTTTTTACATTACCAATGACAAAGAATTATCTTATTACAGCAATGTTTATAAACTGTGTAAATTATTTTGACGTCATCACCATCTCTCGGAGCGCCAAGCACAACTTCTTTGCTGGGTAAAATACAATATCGAGACGTGCATTAATTGTTTGAAATGATATGCAGACAAGTTGAGGTATAAGATTAGTTCAAAATGAACATGAATAAATTAACAGACCTAATATATCAGGACAGGATGAAACATTTATTATACTAAAACCATATTTTAAATATATATATATATATGATGTTTAAAAGTCTGGTATTATTCATACAACATATTTGTTCTAAATATTTTATAATTAAATATTTCTTTTAAAAAAACCGTTCCATATAAAACATATAATACCTATCACGCTATCACTAAGTAAATAATAATCATTTGCTGTAAAATAATAGTAATTTGTTATAAAATCTCATTGTATTATGTTTTAAATATCAAAACTATTTACACATATTTTAAATCTCTAAAAGATTTAAAAATAGATTTTTATATTTAAAAAAAAAATRTTTGAAGTTTTGTTACTTAGCTTCTAGTTTAACCCTAAAAAAATTATTAGGCATAAATATTTAATTTTTTGGGTAGTGTATATTTAATTACAATAGGTATATSAAATTAAATTCATAAAAACCATAACATTTTTTACATACAGTATTGTAAAAAGAGTTAAACAAAAATATCAAACTTTTGAATTTTAGTTTTTTTCTTTTTTCATATATTTATAACTAGGCTTTAAATAATATTTTTTTAAACATATACATATAATCTTTCAATTTAATAAAATAAAATAATAATKATGACATTATAATATGAAAACTATAGAGAACTTTATAATTAATGATTCTTTTTGATATTGCAATTGATTTTTAAAATACATTKCCAAAGCATGTGTATCAAATTATTGTCTGATTTGCTGCGTTTTAATTTTAATGCAATATTATATAGTCTTATTCACTTTTGCCATAATACAATGGTATAAATTARTTAGTGTAAGTAGTGTAATAATCATATTTTGTATTCAATTGGTAGCTGTGATTAGATATGGATAATAATTAATAATTAATTTTTGTCYTAGAATTCTAACAGTACATTTTTGATACATTGTAAATAAGAACAATGTATTTTGGTTTTTGTTGGACAGTATTTTAATAACTATCGTTATTTGTAAAGCAAAAAAATGTATATCAAGTGCAAAATTACAGGTGGTATAGATCCTCACACACATTTGGAATTAGAATTTATGGGAGCAGTGTCTGTGGATGATTTTTATCAAGGAACTAAAGCTGCAATAGCAGGTGGAACAACGATGATAAGTATGGTTTATTTTAATTAATTTAAATTAAAGTAATCTAATTAACCATAATGTATGTTATAGTTGATTTTGTGTTACCAAATAAGGGGGAGTCTTTAATAGATGCTTATCATAAATGGAGAACACGTGCAACAAATAAAGTCTGTTGTGACTATGCTCTACATATAGGTGTTACTTCATGGTCAGATGAGGTATATTAATATCTTGAATATAAAAATAAAATTATAAGTTAAATTTTTTTATTAATTATTTATTCAATTATGTATTGTTGTGTACTCAATGATACAATTTAAGATTTTCATTTTTATTACTACAACTAATTTTATTAAGTATATAAAATTATATCAAAACACATTTTAAAATGAACATATTATTAATATTAATTAACTAATTACTACTATTAACACATAATTTACCGACTTTATGAGATGTACAATTACATTTAAAAATCTCAACATTTATTTTATTAAGTATATAAAATTATATATTATAATATTGTTATTAAATGTRAATTTTAATATTCAGGTGAAAAAAGAAATGGAAGAACTCTGTAAACTGCATGGAGTAAACTCTTTTAAGATGTTTATGGCATATAAAGGAGTTTTTATGGTGACTGATTCCGAATTGTACAACAGTTTTGAAGCATGTAAAGAGCTTGGTGCAATTCCAATGGTCCATGCTGAAAATGGGGATATAGTATTTGAAGTGAGCGGTATATACAGCTATAATTTGTATGATAAATTCTAAATTTATTTCTATTTAAGAATACAAAACGGTTGTTAAAATCTGGTATTAATGGACCTGATGGACATGGATTATCTCGACCTGAAGAAGTCGAAGCAGAAGCTGTTAATAGAGCTTGTACATTGTCAAATCAGGTATAATTTTTCTCAGATATAAATAATCACACAGTGTCTAGATAGATTCCCAATATTTTTTTCTTCTTTAGCTTAGTATTTTACTAGATTATACCTCTAATTAAAACTTTAAATCATTTTCGCCTAACTGCTCTCAGTGGTGTATTTTGCTGGGGGGTCCACACTTTATAAGTCGTAACTTGGAAACCGTTGTCAGAATAACATTACTATAAATGTGTAATATCTATACTTATTACTTAAAACCATGCTGTTGGAACATGTATCTGTTTTAGCTGTTGTAACTAATTTTAAACTATATTTTATTTAATAATTTTGCTCACAGCGAAAAACTGTCTGCGCGTGCCTTTATAAATCGGGTTCTGTAAATATRTAAAAATTATATTTTTTTTTTTGAGAAAYTCTCAGCCCCCTGAAATACRCCACTGACTGCTTTTAAAATATAGAAACATGTATGTATAGTACAATTAAACTAAATTGTAAAAAGTTCTCCAATCATCAATGCCATATAAATAAAATCAAATAGGTAGGTATATATTTTTTAATTAGTTTAGTATAGACTACCACAGYATATAATTATAATTAATATACTAGCTGATCCCGTGAATTTTGTTACCCGTTAAAAATGCATTTAAAAAAAAATTCAAATTTCATTTTATTGGACAGATTGCGGCGATTGCGCAACTAGTTAATTCCTATTTTATCTCTCAATGAACTGAAATTAAGCTTATAGTTTATACAACTATTGCTCGGGCCGGGAACGGACAATGATAGACCGTGACGCCCAATCACTAAATACTACATGCCTACATAGCACTATAACACTCACACGCCTGTGTAAATTGTGTATACAGTATATGTACCCATAGCGATTAGCGACTCAAAAGAAAGAGGACACAGGGTCGCC